CTGTATAGAAATGTTACAAAGCAAATCCAACTATAGAGAAGCTGGCGTTAGAACTACAATGACAGTTCTATAAACGAATTGCACAATCAAGATAGGTATTAGCATTTTTTAATACAAAATTAACACTAATACCAAAGCATTAAATTATTTTTTTAACACTAATGCAAAAGTATTAAGTTAATTTTTCAATTTTAATACAAAGGCATTAAAAATAGTATTAATTAATGCAATGCTAATGCTAAGCCACCACCCCTACTCCCGCCCACACCCAAGGATTTTTTCTGCTAGTGGTTTATACCAATATAATTTGTGAATCTTTTTTTAGAGTGCTTTGGGGTTTATTGCTACTCTTGAAGGTGGTATATTTGTTGGAATACTTGAAGCAATAGTAGAAAGAGACAGAAATAGAAGTGAAATTTCGATGAAATATACTGTAATAATATTTGAAAGTAATCAAGAAGGGTATGAGTTTTAAGAAAACTCACATCCACACCCTTCTCACCAATAACATTCTACCTGCTTCTAGTATATCTGCAAAGATTTTTGTTGCATCATAAGATATGTTCTATCGTCGATAACCGTTTTCTTTGCTCAATGAATAACAAGTAGATGATTGTTTTTTTATTTTTTATTTTTATTAAAGATTGTTTTTTTTTTCTTATTCAATAGAAAGGAAAAGAAAATGTTAAATGGTTTTCGCTTCAACATCACTCACTTTCCCTTGACGACATTGTTGTGTAGATGGATTGTAACACTTGTTATTACACCAACCTTCGCTTTTAAGACAGATGAGACCCCAAATACATCTATGTGTTGTCATATTAAAACATACGTTAATGCATCGACCTTCTTCTTTCCGACAGACGAGATTCCAAATACATTTATGTGTTGCTGTCGAATAACATGTTGAACCGCATTGAGCCTCATCCGTAGCACATGTAATCGGTTTGTTCGCCGTCTGACCAATTGACAAATGAATAAACACAACCAACAGAAGTGTTGTTACCAACAGCATAGAATTCATTTTGTCTGTATCAACACTATTGAAGGGCAAACCGAGAAGGACTATGATCGTTCTCACCAATAATTACAATTTTTTATACGTTTGATTAGAGATAGAATGTGTATACGCCTCATTAGGTTAGGAGAGAAAAAAAAATAAACGACGATAATATCGTACGATATACAGGTATTTGAAAAAAAAATTGCATAAATTTTTTTATATGTAGATTTTTTTCCTATTGCCCGAAGAAACTATCAGTGTCATTTTTTTTTGGACTGACTCTTCGATAATTATACTAGATAATGGCCATAGAGATCTTCAATTTTCCTTATCGTTAATTTGTATTTATATGATTATATTGCATTCTTATCTCTCGAAAAGTTCATTATAAATCAATTTTGTAAGTGAATTCCAACATTTTTCCGATGACAAAGTTTAAAATGTTGAAATTTGTATTGTAAATTGTTTTGTTATGTTCAAGAAAAAAAAAGACATTAGTTTTCTATTTCTTCTAAAGCTGAGCAAAAGAAAATATTTAGAAGATGATATCTGTAGAAAACATAGTGCAATTTTTTTTTGCGAACACCTCTCACATCGTCAACTGATTTAACCTTATTTGAAGGCAATGATATTTGTCACATTGTGAAAAAAAAATTTTCATCACAAAAGAAATCGACTTATAGGTAAAGTTTCTCGAAACGATTGATGACAGTGAAGGTGATTGAGCGTGAACATAAAACACTCATTCATCCATTCTGATGTATATCACACTTCGCATATATGACATCACCTCTATGTTCGTCACATGTATCATAGCGTACTCGTAGACATGAGTATACATTATTTGCATTGAACTGGCTCAGCCAAACTAATTTATTGAATTTCTTGCCCTAGATCTTTGCTTTCAAAGAGTAGAATAATTGAATATTTAACGTTATTTCTAGTCTATTCAACGCAGCTTAACAGTTGAGAACGTGGGAATCATCTAATACATCCAAGCTAGATGACACAATCGACAATATTTGCCATCATAGCGCGACACTTGTTCGTATGTTAATAGATAAGTCATAGGGAAACATACCTGTGGAATTGAAAGATTCAGAGACACTTGAACGAGTTTGATTACCAAAACTCGATATCTCATTTTCTGAGGCGATAGAATTCCGCTTTTGTTTGCTTATTTATCAAGCCTAGCTTGTGTGCGTTCATTTCGACGACCAACTTATTCGTATTCCGAAAATAGAAAATTAATATCAGTTTCTCAACATAATTCAATTTTTTATCATTGTTACATGTTTAGGTTAGCGATACAAGGGTGTGAATGAATAGAAGATGACATTCACACCCACACCCATTATTTTCATGATCAACATGCTACAAACAGTTTTTTTTTCGTTTAGAAAACTGCTTCGATCGAATGAATTAATCGATCATTACTTAATGTCGTCATGTTTAAGATTATGAAAACTATTTCGATATCAGATCATCAACTATTCTTAATAATTTATCCGAATTCGATAATGATTATTCTCATGTTTTTGTTCATTTATCCAATGTCAATGATTAGTCACTGATGATCTATCGGATGGGAACATTTCAAATCCAGGACAAGATTGAATTGGACTTGACCATATGAAAGAAGTGGAATAGAAAAGTTTTGATTTCGATATGGCGAGTCACTTGATTTTCTTTAGGCAACGATCTCGAAAATGACACGATATCGAAAAAAATTGATTCTGATCGAAAGCAAAATGAGAAATAGTCATAGTAACTTAGGAAAAACATCGTTGCATCAAAAACTATTAGCTTAGAGTAGGTTTTTTGTCAGTCTTTATGATCTTTATCATTATTTCTAACGATCATGGAAAGATAAAATTGATAAATATCAAATACTTGAAGTAAAATTTGTGAGGGTGTTATTAAACAGTACCTCTTTCCACCTGCAATATTATCACTAGTTTACATATGTAACTAGATACAATGTTTGCATTTGAACAATCTGGTTTGCTTTCGATGAATTACTAAAGCTTCTAAATGGATTTTGTCCATTGAGTATTAAACCATCCATAGTAGCGACTTTCACGTCTCATCTAATTTGTTGGGTATTGAAAAAATTGATTGCCATAGTTATTAAAGCTTTTTCGCGTATCACATATGATCTCATTGATTATGCGAAGGATGAGGACAGTTCGAATATGGACTACCTAGTAGTTAACCTTGAACATGATGAAAATTCAGATATCCTTTGCAAATCAATATTAGTGACAGAGAGCAAAATTCTTATTTATTACATAATATGGTTGAATGAAAACCAACTGATAGTATGATTTTAAATGATACTTATCAAGTATATAACACTCACATTCAAGACATAAGACATCAATCTATTCTGTTGAAGAACAAACAGATCGATTTTGCATTTAATTATGCAGATCAACGTACAAAAAACTGGCAGGATTGAATATTTTTTCTATTTATCTGAGCTGATAAAATTATTGAGAAATAGCATCGTCCATAAAAACTTTCTGAGATGGATCAAATATCAAGCGACTACATTCCTTGTTACAGTCGAATCTTCGGTTTTTTTTGCTCAGTCATATTTCAATGTGATATTAACTAGCAGATCAATTGATCACATTACATTGGTATAATTTAATCTATACGCAAATCCATGTTCGACTACAAGAATAAAATGAACAACATAGAGACATAATGCTCAATAATACTTTGGAGCATCTATTCATATAAACAACCTTATGAGATTCATCATGTTTGACTTACACTTGAATCAGAATACCAAATCAAATCTCAAGATCAATTATTATTTCATTTTACAATCATTTGTCAATTCATAAAATTTCTTCCAGTCGAAGTAACTTTCATAAATTCTATCCAAAAGCAATTGAAGATCGTTGTTCCATTACCTATATGTAACAATCTTCAATGTAGCGCAAAACATCATCGTAATACTTATATAACAACTGCTTTAATTGTATGATTTTTTTGAATGAGTATATATGAACGGGTAAATAATAATTGATCTCTATAATACAGTTGTCTAATTTTCGACAACAAAAATGAAAGTCAATAATGAGTTGATATTGTAGAATTCGAATATGTTTCACTATGGACTTGATCACACCGGTATAGTCTAATGGTAGGATAAGAGACCTTCAATCTCTCAGTCTGGGTTCAAGTCCCAGTACCGGTAATGATTTTTTTCTTTTAATTGTTTGATTTATTTCGTCATTAGTCAAAGATAATTTCGTAATTACAAATATTCTTTACGAATATAGTTCGATTCTCTCTGTCAATAAAGAACGAAAAAAAACAACAACAATAACAACTTACACGTGTATTTGAAGAGCAACATTTCTTTCTTTCTCCTTTTTATTAGATCGTCAGCAATAAAAACGAAACAACGCAATGATTTTATTCAAGGAAATGATTTTCAATAAAAAAGAAGATTTCAATAGATTAGAGCGATCCGCGAATAAATCGTGTAAAGAAAATTCTAAAGAAGAAATATACAATAGAATTCTAGTGTAAGAGCAAATAAATTACATGTTGTTTTCAACATACAACTCTCTACATTAGAGAAAATGCTACACATTTCAAACTTCAAACGAAGCTCTACAAGTTGTTCAGACAAGCTAAATGATAAGTTGCAAAACGAGTGGGATCTAGATCTGGGTGTGGATCCTCATTTCATCCACACCTACCCTTGTTGTGTTCAGTCAGCGAACTAGTTATGCCGTTTATATTTGGGACGAATCAAAAAGAGAAAATCACTTTTGTTGCGCAATCATCAACCGAATCGTTGCTGGAATTATTATTCGGTTTGAATCAGTTTTTTCATTGTTGCAACTAATCATATATCAATTATAATCATAATAAGAGCGTCCACACACATTATCATCGTAGTATATGAAACAAAGCACATGCATATCATCGTTACAAGAGATAACGCGAGCAAACACGATATTCTAATGAAACGATAACTTAACTCGTGCACATGCAATGTTTTATTAACAAGGATATCTCGGGATATAATTGTACGTAGAATAGTTAATGTTCATCTAACCAATGGTGATCAAACTCTAGGACTTTAAACGAAATACTTTCATGAGCACAGAGGTTACTAAGTTGAAAACTGAAGGTTTTCATTGAGTCCTGTATTTCTTGCAAGCGATATGATTTCATCATGCTTATTTGCTTATACTCTCATGTTTTTTAGCATGAGTTTTACAACCAAGAATGCATGCACATATGACCCGCTCATATGTTCGAAAGCGTATTTTGTGCAAAGCCATTTGCGTGTAAAGACCTCGATAAACGAAAATACACACTTACCTCTCAGGCTAGAATAAGAAATAAGATAACAACGCGACAAGAGATATATAAAGAACTCGACGACAAACATAGCTGCAAACCTACACACAAGACATGAAAGAGGTATTCTTTTTTGTTTTTCTTATCGTGGTTCTTAACATCAGTCAAGCTGATGATCGATTTCGACCACAATATCATTTGCTGCCGCCAAGCAATTGGCTCAACGATCCAAATGGTCCCGTATACTACAATGGATATTATCATATGTTCTTTCAATATAATCCAGATGCACCAGTGCCGAGCAAAATACATTGGGTAGGTAACATCACGTAGATTTAAGCATTTTTGATACTATTGCTTGTATTGTTTCTTCGTCGAAGGGTCATTGCTACAGTAAAGACATGGTTCATTGGGTACGTTTGCCGATTGCTATTGCACCTGACCAAAAATACGACATAAATGGTATCTGGACTGGCAGTACATCAATTGTTGACGGTGTTCCTATTATCATCTATACTGGAATCAATGCAACTAATGCACAAGTACAATGTCAAGCTCGTCCAGCTAATATCACAGATCCGACATTGACAAAATGGATCAAGTGGTCAACGAACCCAATTATTACTATTCCGAATGGACGTGATCCATCGACAGCTTTTCAAGATGAGCAAAATAATTACTATTTGATCTATGGATTCGGCTCAGATGAACTAGGTGGTCAAGCGGTCTTATTTACATCAAGAGATTTTGTGAATTGGACGTACTTACATCCAATTCATAGTAACCATTATGATGTTTTCTGGGAATGTCCAGATATTTTTAATGTTTCTAATCAACTCGTAATGAAAGCATCATTACGTGGACAAGACTTTTGGGCTGTTGGTGAACTTGATCCTATACAAAAAATGTTTCATCCTCTCGCTGGAGATCTCGGGGAATATACACAACTAGTTGATCAGGGAAAATTTTATGCATCAAAATCATTCTATGATCCTATGAATGATCGACAAGTAATCGTAGGCTGGATAGCGGAAGATGATGATCAAGGTGAAAAACGAGGTTGGCAAGGTATGCATTCTTTGCCACGATCGATCTTTCTTTCGGACGATGGATTGCAACTTCGATCACGTCCAATAGAAGCATTGAAAAGTCTACGTATTGAAGAAAGTCATCGATACTTTCATAATATGGTTTTACCATCAATAATACCATTCGAACTGGTCCCTGATGTAAGTGGAAATCAAATCGAAGTGATGATCAATTGGCAATTTCCAAGAGACCAAGTAAATATCTGTGTAGACTTTTCCGATCGATTTATTTATGGTTTTTTTTCATAGGATTTAGATTTTGGATTGAGTGTTCGTTCGACGTCGGACGGTAGTCAACGAACAAGCATTGGAGTGATGACGAAAGCCAATACAGCGTTCATGCCTAATTGGGATGTGCCTGGATGGGACTATTTTAGTGTACCAGGTATTACGAATTCGTTTGATTGTCAACACGCTTGTGATCAGGATACTAAATGTCGCGCTTGGACTTTTGTTAGCACTCGACAAGTGAATAATAATTGTTTTCTCAAAACGGGTATACCACACTTGGAAGCAGATCCGACATGTACCTCAGGTGTGAAACAACAACACGGAAAAAATCAGCAACAACTTGTCTGGATCTACATTAATCGAACATTGTCACAGCAAAATCCTGGAGCATCACGTGTACCACTTGCTGGTACGATCTTGTTGGAATCTGAGTCGTTGAACAGTCAATGGTTTCTAGGATTGAATATTTTCATTGATCATTCAGTAATCGAAGTGTTTGAATCACAAGGTGGTCGTGTAGCAATTGCAACGCGTGTCTATCCAGAAGATGATACGGCCGAACATTTGGCAGTTTATGTCAATAATGGTCCGACCACGAATCAGAATATTATAATTGATACATTAGACATTTGGACTCTGAATGGCATCTGGGCGTGACAGTACGAAAAGAGTTTTCGTAGTATTTTGACATAGCCATGTGAAATCAATCGATAATTTCATAAAATAGACATTGATAGAATCCTATTCTAATGATATAACTTTGAAATAATAACACTATTATTGAGAAACGACTAGATTCTGTTATGTCTAAGAAAAATAATTTAACTATGATGATACATTGATCGGGAACTGAATGAATATGTACAATTTGTATGCAACTTTCTCGAAAATAGTTATAGAAGATGTTCGTAATAACATTTGAAAATCTGAAATACAGACTTGTAATAAATTGTCATGTATCTGTAGTCTTGACGTAATGTAAAATGCAAGATATAATCGGATTATTTCCTATAAGTGAAATACGATTAAATTATCTTTATAGTCAACTATATTTGACAGACATAAACGAAGTTAAAATCAGTATCTATCATGAGTTAGTTTTGTATAATTGTTTAAAAGTTTCACATTATGAAGTAATTCATTATCTAAAAACATTACAATACTAACATGTGGTCAAAGAGAAATAATTTCGTATGTTAGAATTATATTACTCAAATGATATAAAAGAAGTATTAGAATATGGGAAAATGTCTTATCATGCATAGTAAATTTACATACGCTGAAGAATTTTTACGTGAAACAATTGTCATATAACAAAATTTGATAACAGCGAAAGAAATAATTATCTATTAAGCCTCGTAGAAAATTAAATGTTGTACGTACAATAAAGCAAAATATTTTGCACAAGAAACACTAAAACAAGATCGAAATTATACTGATACTAAAAATGAACTTAAAGTAATTGATGTATCGCAAAATCAAGCCAAGGAAGAACGTATTATATTATACAAGTGCATGACAGTAAATAGAGTTTTTCGTTGATTGATGGTGGATGGTATCAAGTTTTCTGCTAGTCATCAAAATCTGATTATAAAGATACAAATATTGCTCAACTTTATCAGACTTATTCAAGAAACGTTTTTCAATAATCATCTAATTCATTTTACAATTTCAGATGATCATCAACACAAGACGTGAAATGTACTGATAAACAACGACACAATTTTGAGTGTGACCATCGTCTATATCCATACCCATATCCTAAGATGACTCTTATAGCTATAATAATAAAAACATTCGATCTCTTCCGAAATAAGTCATAAGCATGAACTCTTTTTATGTTAAACATAGTTTATTTATGTCTACAAGATTCACTAAGTCCTTGCTCAAAAGCGCTGCGATATTTATGCATGTTTCTTTGTACGATTTTAATCGATTATTTAGTGTCAATTAGCAAAATTTTCTTTCTTAACCTTACGTGTGGAAGGCATCTTATTAGTAAGTAACTCGATCTGCTACTCACATGTCATCCCGAATATAACTATATTTACAAGTATAGCTGTTGCAAATATACAACGACAATATTTGATTTGTACGTGATAAAAATAATATAGAACGAGATGCTGTTCTCAAGGACATAAAGTGTAGTGTAATCAGCGTGGGTATGTAGTCATGTACAATGAAAAAAAGCAAGAGGAATGCAATAGAAAAAAAACAACTTTCACTCTCTGTCATCTCTACGTGGCGAGAAAGAGAAGAGAACGAACGCCAACACACATACACTTGTAATCATACAAACGCACACGTGCATCGTTTGTCGATGTTAAAATGGAGTATAATATGCATATACAATTTTATTTGCACGAGTCTGATAAATTTCCATATCGGCCTATTTCGCCTATATGGATGATAATCTATGCTATACCGTCATTTTGTTTTTTTCTTATCATCAATCGACGTGTAACAATACCAAACAAGGATTACGCTAGTAGAAAATCAACTTGGTCTCAACGAAATACATTCATAAGTTTTATTCACTCTTGTCTCTCTTCAATATTGGTAGTAATTGCTATCATACGAGCACCCGAAATGTTCGACGATCCTTTATCGCATACGAATCGTTTTAATTATGCATTAGCCGCATTTTCACTTGGCTATTTTCTATGGGACTTTGTTGATTGTAAACAGAATTCAGCATTGCCAGTATTTGGTATTCTGATTCATCATATCGCTGCTATTTTGTTCTTAGGTTATGTACTCTTTAACACACGCAATCTTGGCTATGCTCTCTATGGCCTATCGCTCGAAATTAACAGTGTATTTTTGCATGCACGGCGTCTTCTTCGCTGGTATTCACCAAAATCATTATCAGTCAGATCTAAAAAACTACTTCATATTTCTGTTACAATCGGAAATTATCTGACATTTATAATTTTTCGTTTTGGTGTTGTAGGTATTTGCTTACATGCGCTGTATTTTCAAGCACACAGAGTCCATCTAGCAATCTGCATATGCATAACTCTTGCTACTCTTCTTGTTTGTTTTCTTAATATGGTTCTACTTTATCGTCTTATCAAGAATGATCTCATCAATAGTTCAAACTCGAAACAAGATAAATCAAAAGATAACCTCATAGAATCATCAATTGATGAAATGTTGGCAGAAAACTAATGACATTTAGTACTATTTGCTTTTATATTCATATGATTTTCATTAAAAAGAGTTTTCAATTATTATTTACTCTATGTTATTGTAGATGACAATTAAGTTTTACTTTTTAATGATAAATTGTTGCTATTGAGAAAACTGATTGTAGGCGAACATGAGGGTATGGGTGTGACAGTTGTGCGTATGATTCTTGTCTTCGATCAAATCCAAACAGACATCCACAACCAAGAAAAGTTCGAACATTGCCTGATCATGAGTAGTTAAATTATTGATAATTATTCAGTGAGCAATCAAAGTTCATATATTTTGCAATTAATACTATTGTAATTCATAGCAGTTGCTAACGAACAAGTCGATTTCTTCTGATAGCTGACAGTGAAATTGTTTCGTCATGACATCTACTGATCATTGTGGATATATGCTTTGTTTTTTTACCAATTAGCAACAACAGAACGCAAGACAAGCATATCGCGATAAGGTAACAGTGATCTCATCATTGCTTGTTTGTTTTTCGTTTTTTTGAAAATAATTGATCAATAACAAGAAGAAAGAAGAATAGATAGGAAAAGGTAAGGCTGTGACCTTAAGTTGTCAGTATAATAGATGAAATGATCAGTATAAAGTATGAATAGTCAATACTTGAATTATCAGTATTAAATTTCAAAAATTATATATAATGAATAGTAAAAACATACATTTTAGATCAGTAAAAATTCAAATTTGGTCAATGAAAAAAATTGATCTTATCAGTAGATTTTGTTTTTTATCCATAAGAAATATAGTCTAGTAGCTATAAGAAAAATATTTTAAATAAATAAAAAAAAAGAACATAGAATAAGTAAGAAAAAATCGCAAAAAAAAGAATATATTTAAAGAATAAAAGAAGAAAAATGATACGAAAAGTAAATTGGTGTACTAGCAAAGAAGTTTTAACTTTTGCTGGTTTACTGCTTTTTTGTGTCACCCAGTGAAGCTGTCTTTGTTGTTATTGGCTTGTTTACAATATACTAGACGAATGGCCATAAACAACAACGCGTTTGCATGTGTGGTTCTTAAAAGGATGTCGATATGAGTATTATCGTCATCCGCACTCTTGATTGACTGTTACTGAATTTAATTTACTAGTCATGTCATCTATTTTACTCATCAAATAGTTATTTTGTTTTCTCAAAAAGTGACCCGTATAGTTTATGTTGATTGCAGAGATATGTACACTATTACTGCATGATATTTATTATTTTTAACAAGAATCAATAGTAGAGAAGAAAAATATGATTTTTGAAGATTGAAGAATAAAACAATGATAGGACGTGAATGATAGAAAACTCAGATCAGTATTTCTCGTTCTTTGTATATTTTATTGAGCTATTAGTTGTGTCTTTTTAGATGTTATCTATGAGTTAACTTAGATTCATCTCCTTGTGTATACGGTTCTTCTGTGTCATATAAAGTGTCTCCTTCTGTGCATCTTCTTATGGCACATCTGTTTGTTGAAAATTCGTCACTATCTTCTTTAAACGATCAGCAGATCACCAGAACATCATCCTGTCATTGGGCCTTGGAGTCTTGTACTTTAACCGATCCCAAAGTGATTGCACTCGCACATTTTGAACAATCGGATTATGCGGTCTATCTTCATCCTCAAGATAAACGTGGCTATCGTTCAATTGTTCAATTGATCAACAACGATCAAATGATCTCAACAATCAATCGAGATTATACTTCAACAGAAAGAATTGGTCTTGCGTTAACTATGGCTTTAGTTACAGAAGCTTATAGTCGTATTGTACCAATCGCTCAAAATGCAGTTACAGGAAATAATACACGTTTGTTTGAACCCAAAAAAGGCACTGTTCAATTGGATATCCCTGAAGAACCAATTTTTCTTCATGGTCATGTGTTTGGATACGGTGATCCAGAAAGAAAATATATTGAAGATGTTCAATTAGACGGTCCTATTCTTCGAATACTTTTCGATATAAATGCTTCGTCTCCACAAGAATCAGATCATGATAAACAAGTGTCTTGGAACTCTGACGAAATGAATAAAGTGGTTCGTAGATTAGAAACTGAAATTGAAAACATTCGTGATACTTACAAAGTTCACGGACTGACCATCATTACTCGAAATAGTTTCATCGATATCTACATAGTAAGACATGGTGAAACTGATTGGAATGCTCAAAAAAGACTTCAAGGACATACAGATATTCCTTTAAGTGCACAAGGCAAACTACAGGCTTATCAGCTTAAAGAAAAGTTCGCTGACATTCATTTTTCAAAAATATTCTCATCCGATTTAATACGAGCGCGTTCAACCGCTGAACTGATCCGTAGTTCGAATAAATTACCTATTATCGAAACACCACTTCTTCGAGAAAGATGTATGGGAACATGGGAAGGACGTTTGGCTGGTGAATTAAATTTGCACTTGCAACAAACTGTCGATCTTGACAAGTTCACACAAAAGGAATATTTATCGTTTAGATGGGATGACACTGCTGAAAGTTATTCTGATGCATACCAACGAATACAAACTTTTATCCGTTCCATGGCATTTTCTCCATCGATGAATGATGATCCTATTTTGCTTTCTAGTCACGGTGGTATCTTGCGAGCCATACTATATCACTTAGATTTTCGTCCTGGATTTCGCTGGCAGGTGACCAATTGTGCTTTTCTGAAGCTAAGAGTACGGGCAGATGGACAAATCATCATCATGACTTCCGAGGGTATCAAATCGACCGAGGCAAAGGAACTCATCTTGCCACTCTGAAGTGTGGGTGTGGGTCAAAGACTTTTTGTCTCCTGTTTTTCTACATGGTATCTTTCTTTAGTTCCACCGATGGCGAATCGGTCTTTAGGAATCACTTTTTTTGTATTTTTTGTCTTTAATTGCATTTAGAACTTTTTTTGAATGTTGAAAATTCTGTAACATCGATGCTCTATGTTCATTATAAAATTTTAAGAATCTACAAAATAACAAGATTAAACGACATATTGTTCATCTTCGATATTCAATGAAATGTTGTAATTAGAGATGTGCGGAATCGAGACCGGGACCATGGGAAAGAGAAGTTACTGAGAAGACCACGACTGGGACTACGAGAGAAAAATTGCCGAGATCGAAATTCAAGTTTATAGGAAAATATTCTATGGTTTTAAACAAATTCTTCTAGAAATCATATGAATCCGAGCATAATTTAACAGACACGACATAAAAAAGTGTTAGTCATCAACTGAATAAATCAGAAAAAAAAGAATGTTAAAGAATTATTTTAGATGTGATACGAATCATTACTGGAATAGTTTTCTTTAAATCGGAACCAGAACTACACCAGATTTACCGAGAATCTGACCCAGACACAAAAAAAAACTTGATTCTGTACATCTCTAGCGCTGATATTAATCACATGTGATGTGCCAAGTGAATAACTAACTTCAGTAAGTAACTAATTAGGTCCTTAAGTTAAGTTAGGAACTAAGCTGGTGAATAAAGAAGTTAATGCCTAATATAGTAACTTAGAAAAGACCACGTCATAATTCATGATGCACACATCATAGTTGAATACATATATATGATGAATATTCAGAAAGTATGAGCGCAAGGAATAGATCACCGAAACGAAATTTATGAACATAGATGATCGAAAGGTATTCGGCGATCTTTGTTTTCGGTATTTGAACTTGAACCCGGTCAAAACAAAATTTTCAGATCTGGACCCCATAGACTCAACAACGCATCCTCACGATGATCAAAGTGATTAAACCGACCAATATTTTGTAAAATAGAAATTTCGAATCTAAGCGTCTCAAGATGATTTTTTATTTTTCTTTGACAGTAAAAATAATTTGATTCAAATAGAAAAACAATATCTTCAATAAAATAATGATAAAATAGGTCATGTGTTTTTGTACTGGAGACAGAAAAAGAACAACATAGACTTACCTTGGTTTTTTATCAGAAAAAAGCAACGTCAAGATAAAAGTATATGTTATTATGATGCGTCATTAAATTTTAACATGTCAGTTTACTATTCTATACTAATATATAAAATTAAGCAAGATGTATTTAGAATCATTAGCAAATGAATTACTACTGTATTTATTTGAATTTTTGGATGGAATTCATTTATTTCGTGCTTTTCATAATTTAAATTCTCGATTTAATCATCTACTTTTTATTCATTTTCGAGCTTATCGTTTTGATTTTCGTTCAATATCTAAATATGAATTTGATATTATTTGTCAATATTATCTTCCATCAATTATTGATCAAATTATTTCTTTAACTATTTCTGATGATGATGAAACACCTAGTCAATCTGAAATTTTTCTTTCATATAATTTTACTCTTGATAAATTTATTCATTTACAATCACTTACACTTTATTCAATTCAATCATTTGATAAATTAGATCAATTAATATTTCAATGTTGTCAACTTCCTTATTTAACACATCTTTATATGATTGATGGTTATAATGATGGTAGAAAAAATGATATTCAATTTTTAATTAATAATATATGGAGTTTACCAAAACTTTATTATTTTTATTTAAATTATCATTCATCAAGTAAAATATGGTTAAATAAAATTTCAATTATTTCATTATCAATTGAAAAATTATTTATTGAAAATATTACATGTACTTTACAAGATCTTTCACATCTATTTAAATATACACCTTCTCTTCAATATCTTAATACAACTATTCATTTTAATTTTGAAGATGAACAAATACCTATTGTAACATTATCATCAATTACATCATTAAAATTAACATTTGAAAGTTCTGTACCAGTTATGATAAATCTTTTTCAAATG